GATATCCGTTGTTTGTTGGTGTAAAATTCTAAAGGAGTGCAATTCCTCACAGCGAATTATAATCTAGGATCATTTCAGTCATGTATAATAATGTGAAATAGCTCTTGTGGTCCAGCAGTAGTATGAGGACACTTAACTGATTACAACCAGCTGAGCATGTTTGTGAGCCGTCCAAGTAAGACTCAAGCGGGAACTACCTTGATTCAGGGCTAAAGAAAACCCAGGATTCATCTAGTTCTTATAAGATTTCATTGAGCCAAATCAAATACTTTCTATATGACTTGGCCACAAAAATGCATACAGTACAGACTTTACATTTTTTTCTTACAACTTGAACTACTAACCACTTAAGAAATTTTGAAACTATTACCTGCACTTGCCTTGGCCTTCCAATAAGAAGAGAAAAAATGTTGACCTACAGAGCCCCAAACAAGTTCAAGTATTTGGTAATAGTTGTGTTAAAGAAAAATCTGCCATGATGTCTGAGCAGAAAAATAGGAGTAGAAATGCAGAACTTGTTAGGCGGTGCCAAGAGAGGCGATCTTAAGCTCTCTCCGCCTTACCCCTAAGACATTGCTGTAAGGTCGTAAATTGCCCCAAGGGGACCACAGATAAAAGCGTTTGTTCCACAGGAAAAAAATGAATGCCTAGAATTCATCTTAAGTCCTTTGGTTAGTTTCCTAAATTTGACATCTCCTTGACCTACACAAAGCAACACACTCACATTCCTGAACTTTTGGTCTCTCTGTCTCTCTCTCAGTTCTAGCTAGAACTTGATATTTTAAAAATTCTCTAAGAACAAGTGGAGGAGATCTTTGAAGTTTCATTTTAGTAGTGTAGCTCAGTTGAAGATAGCTCTGTGATGCAAAGTAGGGAAAGAGAAGACTATATCAGAGTCACGGCTGGTTTTTTTTCCTCATCCCTCAAAGGGCTACAAATTTTCCGCGGGTTTTATCAGATTAATTCCCCCAGTTGATTCACATGTGATGTAGGAAAGTGATGTTCTTCGCCTGCCACCCCTGGCAGCCGCAGCAAAGTCAGACGAGGTCAGAACCTGCTCTCCCCTGACAAATCCATCTTCTTATACATCCAGTACTGAGGGGATGAAGGTGAAAGGACTCACATCCCAATTTTATTTAGGGAGTTCCATTTAAAATGACTATACATAATACTGATATTGGAATGAAAATGAAACCTCTTTACAATTTATGTCATTTTACAAGGAGAGAGAGGAGTCTTGAGGCTGGGCCTGGACAGAGTTTGTTACCACTGACCCTAGGTCCAAATGAGTTGGCCCACTTTTGCAGTCCGCCCAGGACACCTTGTAAGATTCAGAGTCTATGAGGGTGGCAGCATTCCTATCTCATTATCTGACCAGCATCCCCACCAAAAGAATTTTTTCTGAATTTAGTAAGATCTGGGACTATTCCCAAACTTCCATTGCTCCCAATGAGGCAGGAAATCAGCAGGCTGCCTGCACTGGTACCCTGGAATGGGAGGGGGCTTGGGAGAAAGTCTTAGACAAGGGGCTAAGGACCCTCGATTCAGCCCGCATCAGAATTGTTCTCTTCTCCCTCTGAGGGGGCCCTACATGGAAAACTGAAACTATGGAAGTCTGCCAGGCCAAGAGGTCAGCTCAAGCTCCTGGGAACTCAATAAAATAACATTCCCAACTCTTCACGGAGCCCCAGTCCTGAGACTCCCACACAGGAGACGTCAGCCCAGCCCCTGTGCAGCCCTTGAACCCCTCTGCTTTACAGCCTCCCACACAGCCTTCAACCCACCACTTCTCTCTCCCATGCTAATTTTTTCTCCCTTGATTCTCATATGCTCTTAATAGGGAAAAGGGAAAATAAGAAACACACAAGAGAATGAAAACATCAAATTTTCTGAGTGTTGCCATACTGAAGTATGTGACCAGAGTGCGAACGATGTGACTGTTTCTATCACACCACCAGATGCCCATCGCCCCCTACATGATTCTTGTTGAAATGTCAGTCTCGAGACAGAAGTGTCCTCAGGCGATGTGGCAGTTGAGGTTTGATTTTTGGGTCGAGAGCACTTATAACCCCTCCTCCCATAGTTCTTAAGATGAGCCACGTGGAAATGCTTCATGCGTTCACAAGTATGTACGGTGCCCCCAATACAAGATACATAGTGAAATGGGACTCAGTCCCTGCCCTCCTTTGCCCCATCATTTGTTTCCCCACAGCCTCTCAATTTCTCACTTGGATAAACAATGTGACAACCTCACAATTTCAGCTTCCTTCTTCAGTCTCCCACTTTCTCTCCAGTCCACTCTCCATACTGATGTCTCAGGGAGATTTCTAAACACCACTCTGCTTCCCTGGTCAGCTTACCCTGTTTAAAATTTTCAGTGCCTTGCTGTTGTTGCCTTTAAAATAAAGCCCAATCTCCTGAGTAGAATTAACTACTATTACAGCAGAATAAACTACTGGCAGTTCCCCAAATATATAGCATGCTCTGAAATCTTGGGGTCTTTGCATATGCTGCTCTCTCTACCTAAAATGCTTTTCCTCCTCCTTCACCTAAGGAGCTCCTACTGATACTTCAAAATTCAGTTGAGGTGTCACCACCTCCAGGAAGCTCTCCCTGACTACCAGCCTCACCCATTCCAAGTTAGATGCCCCTCCTTTCTGTTCTTTTAGCACTTTGTGAATACCTCTGTCATAGCAAAGATATAGTGAATAGTAATTGTCTTATTTACCCACTTTCTCTCCAACTAGACTAAAAACTTGTAAATAGAAACTATGCCATTTATCTCTATGTCTTATCTACCTAGTAGACTGTCTAGCACTTAGTAGGTTTTCAGAAATTGTTTGATGAATAAAGAAGCTCAAAGTCTAGGAGGGAAGACAGGGAAAGATAGCTCTGTAATGAAGTGTGGTAAAGAGCAGAGTGGGGTGCAGTCATGAATGAACAGAGGGATTGGACACTTCTGCTTGAGAAGAAGACAGAGTCTAGGAAGTTATCCTGGAGGAAGAGACATGGGTGGGCCTTGAGGAAGATTGGGAAAGCACCAGGGCTATGGGGAGGAGAAAACAACGAGAACTGTGGCATGTGGAAGGCCTAGATGCCTCAGGCAGCATGACGCCTTTGGGAAGATGTCCCTTATAAGAATGACACTGGTGACAGTGAAGAGATATTCACGGGAAGGTGACAAGAGAGTATTGGAGTAATCCAGATAAAGGTGTGAATTGAGCTAGGAGCCCAGCATGACCCCCAGGTTTCTGGCTTGGGTCAGTGGTGGTACTGTTAACCAGGATTAGGAATTAAGAGGAAAAACTGCTTTGGGAGAAAAATGGGAAGCCTAGTCTGCTGGTGTTGGGTTGGAGTTGCCTGTTGGACATCCAGATAAAGAGGTTTAGTAATCAACGGGATATGAGTCTGAAGCTCAGAAGAGAGTCTAGCCAGGAAGGAAGACTCTCTCTACTATAACAACTTCATTGGAACTTTTGTTTTACTTCTACAGTTTAACTGTGCCATTAAGTGTCAGTCATGGGTGGGGACTGCTGGGAGAGGGATAATTGGTCCCATTTCTGCCACTGGCTTGGATACGTGGCCTCTAGCAAGCTACTCAACTTCAAGCTGTGCCTGTTGCCTTATGGGAAAGGAGACAATTAAGGACACCTGAAGAAAAATGTTGCAAACATTGGCCCTAAAAGAAATTAGTTTGGTCCTATCTTTTGTGATTCTTCTGTGGAATGTGGAAGTCATGCCAGTGAAGCCAACCTCTTCCACTGCCCAACAACCATACTTCCAAAGGCCACTGAGTACACAAAGGGGGAAATCTTTACCTTCACTGCATTGGAATCCTTACCTCTTAAAGAATCCTTTTTAGGTAGAAATGTCACTTCCTTGCTACAATGAACACGTGTCTGTTCTTTCCTCCACTTTGTGGGGAGAGTCTTATGTTGATGCCCTCTCGCCATTGTGATGGCAACTTTTTTCTCCTGTTCTTGCCCAGCCTGCAGCACCCACCTCAATCATGCTTTCCTATAGAGAGTTTATTTGCAATTCTGTCTGCATTATAGAGTTTAGGCTGAGATCTGCTTTGTTTAAGAGACCCGACCAAAATAGCATTTTTGCAAAGCAACTCATTGTGCTTTTCCTGGCTAATTTATCTTAAGTGACTTGCACTGAAATGAAACATACTTTAATTCAAAGGTTCCTGACGGTAATGGTACTGTGGAAGTTACATGATGTGCTCATGGTTGAACCTCTTTTATTCCAAATATCTATTCACAAAGGCTAAATGGGAATTTCTTATGGAACCCAGGCATTTCTGACAATTCAAGAGGGATTGGTATTTAACCAAACAGCTTCTGGCAGTCAGGTATGAGCATGGCAAAGATTTAGCAAGGGCATTAGTCATGTGAGGAGAATGGAGGAATTCATTTTTAATTCAAAAGACTGTGATAGAAAACTCATCATCAAACTTGAATATCAACCAACCACTATTTACAAAGAGGCAATATCACAACTGCACCCAGGGAAATTTAAATGATGCAGAACAAAAATTCTCAGAGAAGCCCAAAAACCAATCATTTCACCCACCATGCTGAATTAGATGTGCACTAAGCCCAGAGCTGGCACTGTGTTCAATGAAAAGCCCTTGAAATATTTACTTCTTGATTCAAAGCAAAGGTGTCAGCTTATTTTGAATTGTAGTATCAAATATATTCCCTAACTTTTTAAAAAAATGCTAAATAGTTTAACTACAGCCTCTGAAATATTGGCTAAATATAAATGACATATGAGCACAAACTCCATGGTCTGATATTTTAATTTCTGTAAAATTTGGTGGTCAGATTCAGGATACAGCCAGGGATTAGCCTCTTCTGAGAAGCAGCAGGCTGCAATCAAATTGCTCAGCTGCTCCCTGGAAGCTGGTAGTCTATGGATGCTTTTCTAATCTGCTAGCAATGCAACTTGAGTAAAACCATCTTTGGCTAACTTAACGTTTCTGTAATTAACAGGTCGGAGATCAAATCATTGAAATCAATGGGGAGAGCACAAGAGACATGACACACGCCAGAGCGATAGAACTCATCAAATCCGGAGGAAGAAGAGTGAGGCTGCTGCTGAAGCGCGGGACGGGGCAGGTCCCGGAGTATGGTGCGTTTCACCTTTTGATTCCCCTTTCTTCTGTTTTTTCTGAGTACTGTAAATGCCTATGCTTATTTATAAAACTACATCAGTTCTCTAATTCTACCTAAATATATATTTAGTGATCAATAGGTATATATACACATATACGTATATGTAAGCACCAGGTTTATATGTGTGTGAGCTCTTTCTTTCGCTCCCGTGGTTAGGAAATGTTTAAAATAGCCAGTGTAGGGCCTTTCAGGGCATCTCTGAGCGTGCTGGGAGATCCAGCCACACTTATATATTTGGACTTCCGTAATTTGACTGATAGTCCTCTGTTCATTTGAGTCCACAGTAATTTGTCATTTCCTAAAACAGCGCGTGCGTCAGGCTGTCCTGTAGGATACGTTACTGAGGTGAGGGGCCAGCAAGAACAATCTTCAGATGTGAAGGTTAAAACGTAAACTTCAGTTCCTGCAGTGGTTGCATTTCCGTGGCATTTAGGGCTATTCCCAAGATTCTCTCTTATGTTATGTATCTAGATGCTGTTGAGGAAGACTTTCAAGTGCATTTTCATTCATAGATTTGCCTTCAGAAGCCTTTAATGGTGTTATTTCCCAACAGCCCGTTTCAGGCCCCACTGACAGCATCACTCCAGTATATCAGAAACTGCTGGGTGGTCATTACATGAAGAGCATCGAAACCCGAGCTGGCCTTAAATTAATCTCAGGGAGTGACAGAGACACTGACACAGACTGACAGACATCAGTGAAAAGCAGCGCAGATAATCCTGTCCAGGTTAGGGAAATAGGGTCTGACTGCTGACCTGAATAATTAGCTCAATTTTTGATCTAGGTAACATCGACTCTCACTTTCACCCCTCCATTCCCTACCCCCCCAAAAAAATTCTAAATAGTGCTTTTCACTCTCAAATTATGCTTTTTGCTTAAGTTACTTAATAATTTACTGAACACTTCCTTATTTAACGGGGCAGTATAGTCCTGAGTTCAAGTGAAATATCTGCATTCAAAGGCCCTTAAATACTTCATGTTTCCAGGCCCTTGAACATACCCCAAAGCCTACACACCCTTTTTGGGCTGGCAAGTCCTCACATTAAGGGCAGGGAAGCATTCAGAGGTTTCTGTAGGGCTGGCTCTATGCCCAAGGAAATATTTCATCCAGGATTCCCACTCTTAATTCTTGGATCTAATAAAATATTTTAAAATATTAATATTAGCAATAAGCACAGGCCCAATCCTGATAAACGTCACTTGTAAAGAATCTGAACTCGTGGAATAGAACGACTTCTTGCACCCTGGAGCATTGAGGGATTAGCAATATCAACTGACCCGGGAGCTTCTACCACTTCTGAAAAATATCTTATTTTAAAGGTGTGTCTCACTCCATGGCAAGACCTGACTGTTGTCTATACCAAAGGATTTTCGTAGAGTTAACCTTGTTCTTATTGTTCTAACAGGTTAATCTTTAAAAAGTTAACCTGAACCACATGGCTGTCCTGAGCTTTCCATTCTTTTGTAGAATCACTATTTGGTCCATACTTGCAGCGTCCACCACGCTGGGTGCTCGTTTACAGCGAGCAGTTGGAACAGCACTACTGACCAGCCTGTGCATTTTACTCAGACTGTAATGCATAAGCATGAAGCTGCCTCAGAGCATCTTTAAGAAAAAATAAAGACATGTTTTTGAACAAGACAAAAATTCAAGACCATGTCAACATTATCTCATTAATTCTTATCATCCAAAAATATCTAGATAAGGCTTTTTTTTTAATTTTTTGTTTATTGCAGTAACATTGGTTTGTAACATTGTATAAATTTCAGGTGTACATCATTATACTTCTATTTCTGCATAGATTACATCATGTTCACCACCCAAATACTAACTACAACCCATTACCACACACTTGTGCGGAATTATCCCTTTCGCCCTCCTCCCTCCCTCCCCCCTTCCCCTCTGGTAACCACCAATCCAATCTCTGTCTCTATGTGTTTGTTTGTTGTTGTTATTATCTACTACTTAATGAGGGAAATCATACGGTATTCGACCTTCTCCCTCTGACTTATTTCACTTTGCATGTAGATAAGGCTTAATTCTAAAATTAACCGACACAGAGAGTTCGTTAAATATCTAGGCACGCTTTTGAGGGACCGATCATCAATATTGTTAACTCTAGCAGAATTGCAGAATTTCTTCTAAATATATTCTTCTAAAATGTAGCATTAAATCCTACTTGCTGGTAATGCTAGAGCTTGTCAGCTACTGTTGATGTTAGGTTGACATGGATTTTGACTGCAAAATTACTTTAAAGATTATGTCACAAAAGAACAAATTTAATAGAGTAGAGCAATCTCTTTTAGGGGAGTAAAAGAATAATCATAAATAAGGTATATACATTAGTTCTTCAGGAAAATCTAAACTGAAAGATGCATGGTTACACATGAGAAACCAAGAAAGTTAGGGATCAGATTGGCGTCTTTGAGGATAATGCCATCGAAAGGTATTTCTGGAATCTCATAGGCACTAATGAGGGGGGTGTTTAGGGGTCCCCAAGACTACCCCACATTCAGAAGTTTGCTAGGACTCTGGAGCACAGAATATAGTTGTACTCACAGCCAAGATTTATTACAGTGATGTAGTAAGGGTGCACAGTGGGATCATAAGGGGAAAAAAATGCAGGCAGAGTCTGAAGGAATCCACGTCCAGCCTTCCTTATGCTCCCTCTTTCTCTCTCTCCCTTGAGGGGTCACCCGGAGAGCACTCTTCCCCCAGCAACAAAAATGCAGCAACATGTGTGATGTTGCTGACCAGGGAAGTTCATTAAAGACTCTGTGCCCAAGGTCTGTACTGGGGGCTAGCCATGCAGGCACCCTCTGCCTAGAACGCACCAAAATTCCAGACTCCCATAAGGAAAGCCCGTCTTCAGCATAAACCACATTGTTTGTACAAACAGTTCAAACTGGTACAGTGAGACACTCTTATCGTTTAGGGAAAGGTTTGTATTAGTGTAGGGGACAATTTACCAGTCACAGTCCCAGATGTCAGCCAACGGCCAACCTTGCAAGCAGGCCTTTCTAAGGACAGTAGTCACAAGCCTGCTACATGAATGCTTTCCTGCACCAGGAGCAAGCCAGAGAAGTGCAACATTCAGGGACTTTCAATTGACCCCAATGTAAAAGGAGTGCCCACAGCTAGGGACATCATAATTCCTCCAGCAGCAAATAGACTATATCGTGAAACAGAATTTTTTGTCCAAAATGAAATAGAGTGTATTTTAATAAAATTAGCCAGGAGGGGGAGAGGTAACAAAACAAAATAACAGCAACAAAAGAAAATGTTTGAGTTTACCAGTAGATGCAACCGAGAATATAATCTACTGTGTCCAAATGCACCCTAATCACAGGAAAACAGATTTTTCTGTCAACTATCAGTTTAATCTTGCGTTTGTTTCCTTTGTTTGCCTTTTAAGATCTAAATTTGGCATAAAATCCATCCCTAAGAGACTGTGGAAGGGGTTATCAGAATCCATGGGAGACCTAACTTGACAGGGAGCTGTTCACACTTAACCCAGCGAGGAGAGCGAACTGTGAAGACGAGGAAGGAGACTGAGAAAAACAGTCTGTGGAAGGGTTTTAGGTGATACCCACCTGCCCTCCCTCTGATAGCTACAGAATTCAGAATTCAGAACAGCTTTGAAGCAAGACCCTTCTCTGGACTTTTGGCCATGTCAAGAGAAAGCTGATCTCAGTCAAGAGAAATAGGAAACTCTCGCTCTAAGTTCTTAAGGTAATCTGTGACAGAGAGATAAGCACAGGTACAATTGAAAGAAAAAAATACCAAGGGTAATCTGTCAGATTGTTGGCTAAACAAAATCAGTGTGAACCCAAGTGAGCTGAGGAAAGGAATAAATATGCTGCAAATATGCCATCCATAATTACCATCAGCCTAATCATCAGAGACGCCTCGGCCAATTCAGAGGCATAAATCAACAAATGCCGCCAGGAAGGAGTGGCTGCACACAGAGGCTGTCGCAGCTGCAAGGGGCGTGGGAAGGTGATAAGGCCTCTGAAGGAGAAGGTGCTTTTATAGTTAAGTCCTTGAAAGAGAAGCTCAGGAGATAGATCCTTCAACTCTACTCCAATCCTCAGGATAAGAGTTTGTTGATCATAAACGCAACGGAAATCATGCGTTCCCCCTCCCCTGACACACCTCTCAGCACCAGGCAGGAATAAGGACACTTCACTCCACTGTACTGAGAAAGGAATCCAAAGATGATGCATCAGAAGTAGTGCTCTCCTTAACACTGGTTGTTGCTGTCAAATTAAATCTAAAATGGTTAAGAGAAAAGAAAGCAGCCATCATGGTTTTAAAGCTGCACAGGAATAAATTATACAAATTAGCTCCCTGCCTTGGTGTACAGGTGTCCTTCATTAGCATTCGGGGGGCCCCACATGGGCATTCACTTGATTTATGCACTGAGCCACAGACCAGGGCGAGGGTAGATAGAGGCACCATTGGATGACAGAATTCCCTACTCAAGCACTTCAGACCAGCCAGAGCCTTTCCCCTGGGAATATTTGCTGTTCAAATCTGACCAAAATAAAGCAAAACAGAAGTATGCCTTCCAGTCCTGGTGGGTGGTCTGGCCTGTTTATTCTCTTACAAAGCAACAGGGCAGCCCTTTATGACTAGAAAGCTGCAGGGGTCTAACTGTGAAGGGGAGTCTCCATGGTCTTAGGGGGCCAGGCAGGGTTACAAGGATTCTCACAGTGTCGATGGCCCAGGGACGACTAACACCTAGTGCCCACACAAGGGGAAAGAAACAGCCAACCCGTGAATTAGACTCCTGCCCACACTTACATCTTCAAAGTTAATTGTGTCTTTAATAGGTTTTGACTTGATTACAGGCCTTTGGTAAATAAAATTGTTTACGTTTTATAAGTATAATAAAACTGCATTAAGTACAATGATGTACACCTGAAATTTTTACAATGTTATAAACCAATGTT